ACTGGAGTGAGATGCTGTGGTGTAAGATTTTAGGGTCAGGACAGAAGGGGAACGGGACAGTTGGTTTAGTCCGAGCTCAAGAGCCTGGCACTGGGACCGTCACCCAGAGCCTGTGGCAGGCACAGCCAGCCAACACCACTTTGAGTAGCTGGGTGCTTAGGGACAGCATGCAAGAGCCTGCAGAACAGCACTTACTGGATAGCTCTGCTTAGGTGCCTCCTGACCCTCTAAAAGGCAGTAGCATCTGGAGCTATCGAGTCCTTCACATCTCCCCTGCTCACCTGGGAGGTGAAGCTGCCCGCCTCCATGGGCGGGTCATTCTTGCTGTCTCCGGCCACATTCCCCCGGCGAATGTCCTTCACAGACACGTTCTTTACATTGAAGCCCACATTGTCCCCAGGCAGGGCCTCAGCCAGGGCCTCATGGTGCATTTCCACCGACTTCACCTCTGTGGTGACATTGCTGGGAGCAAAAGTCACGACCATGCCAGCCTTCAAGGTGCCCGTCTCCACGCGCCCCACGGGGACAGTGCCGATACCTGGGGAGGCAGAAGAGCATGAGGGTGTTGGACCTACTGAAGAAGCAGTAATGCTAGGGAAGTCATGTCCCCACTACGCTCACCACCGATCTTGTAGACATCCTGCAGAGGCAAGCGGAGGGGCTTTTCCACGGGGCGCGAAGGAGGGACGATGGAGTCCAGAGCCTCCATCAGAGTGGTGCCTGCCACGTTCCCTTCCTTCCTAGTTATCTTCCAGCCTTTGAACCAGGGCATCTGCGCAGGAAGGAGGCAAGGCTGAGTGTAGGGACTACCAAGATGCAACACCCCACCCCTAAACATCATAAGAGAACTACTAGTGCCTGCATCCCCCTGCTTTGCTTGTGGCAGGTTAGGCTGGTCTTAAGTGTTTTTGTGGGCAGTGTCCCTTGCAGTGGTGCTACAGGGTGGTCTTTAGCTTTAGAAATAGCCTAGACAAGCACTTTTAGGGGGTGGTTTGAACAGGGATAACCCTGCCTTGATCAGGCGATTGGACTAGGTGGCCTCCTAAGGTCCCTTCCAGCCCTACTTCTATGATTCTGCCAGGAGAGGTTTTAGGAGGAATAAAGAGCCCAGAAGTCAAGACCACCTTTCACCTCAGCTCTCAGTCTGCAGCCCTTGCCCCAGCTCTAAAGCCAGGCTTTGGATAGGGCTCCACCCCGGTTCATACACCCGTGTCATGGAAGTCAGTCTTGCCTCTGCGAGGCACAGCAGGCAACCTACTTTGGCACTGGCTTCCAGCATGTTGTCCCCATGCCAGCCGGAGATGGGCACGAAGGCCACGGTGGCAGGGTTGTAGCCGATCTTCTTGATGTAGGCGCTAACTTCCTTAGTGATCTCCTGGTAGCGCTTCCCGCTGTATGGGGGCTCCGTGGAGTCCATCTTGTTCACCCCCACAACGAGCTGCTTCACCCCCAACGTGTAGGCCAGCAGGGCATGCTCCCGGGTCTGCCCATTCTTGGAGATGCCGGCCTCGAACTCCCCCACGCCCGCAGCCACGATCAGCACTGCACAGTCAGCCTGGGGTGGGGACAAGAGGGGTGAGAGCAGATCCCCCCCTGGAAAGTGCAGTCTGGAGGGGATGCGACAAGCCTGTAGACCCCCTTGGCCATCCCCATGCTCAGGCCTTGCACTGCCGCTGGGATGGATCGCATAGATCCCCGTGGAGCAGAGCTGTCCCCAATACACCCTCCGCCCCCTACCCCAAGCCTCACCTGCGAGGTGCCTGTGATCATGTTCTTGATGAAATCGCGGTGCCCAGGGGCATCAATGATGGTGATGTAGTATTTGGTGGTCTCGAACTTCCATAGGGAGATGTCAATGGTGATGCCACGCTCCCGCTCTGCCTTCAGCTTGTCCAGCACCCAAGCGTACTTGAAGGAGCCCTTGCCCATCTGCCAGGGGGTTTCAGGACAAGGGGGAAAGAAATCAGATTAAACTGACCTTAGTTTAGAAGTAGTTGAAAAGCAAAAAATTACTAGGAAACATGTTGGGGGTGAGGGGGGGTGGAGGCAGAGGCCAGAATTACTTAGGGTGCTGCCTGCTAACAGCATTTCAGTGCCCTTGAGCCTGTGGCTCCAGATGCACCATGCAATTCCCAGCCAGCACATTCAGTTAAGCAATACTCTAGCCCAACCTCGGCTGCCTCCTTCTCAAACTTCTCAATCGTCCTCTTGTCGATGCCTCCGCACTTGTAGATGAGGTGCCCGGTGGTGGTGGACTTCCCCGAGTCCACATGGCCGATCACCACGATGTTGATGTGAATCTTTTCTTTCCCCATGGCGCCAGTTGGAGGTTTCCTACAATTGAACGGTATTTAGACCAGCTCCACAGCCTCATATTTACCCTTAGGACCAGACTCGGGCTCACGCGGGAAGTCCCAACAAGGGCAAGGGGGAGGTACAGGGTAGAAGCAAGCTGCTTGGGAAATCAGAGACCTAGCACAGGTAGCTTCAAAGGTTCAGTCATGCAGGTCTGAAGAGCTATCGCTTAAATTTCTGCTAGCCTTTTGAGACAGCAGCATTGCCCTCTGCTGTCAGAACTGAGCCATTTCCTTAAAAAAAAGGAAAATAGAGTCCCAAGCCAAACCAGCTAAATCAAGTCCAAATCCACAAGTCAGTCCAGAACCATATGTGGTCCTACAACCGGCAAACATCCTCCACCCCGACCAGGGGCTTCAGACATTCCCAATGTCTTTTGACAGGTGCCCTACATGCAGGGCCAAGCCCAGAGGCTTGGGGCCATGAAGCCAGCACAGGGCATGTGAGAGCAGCTAGCAACACTTTGGGCTCTTGCAGCACAGCAGCATCCTAACCCTCAGCACAGATACCAATAGGTGAGGTCCAGAGAACAGGGAACAAGCAAGCCCCAGCCACTTCAGGTGCTGGGGCAGCCTGAGAGAGCAGCTATTTTGCTCCAGGTCTGAGAAAGAAGTCAGCTCTCCCTCCTCTTCACATGGGCACCGCGCCCCACACGGCAGGGGAAGCAGGATTGGGGCAGGGAAAAGAAGAACCCAGTAGAGCTCAGAGCTGGGCACTTTGCCTCCTCCTTCAGCAGCTCCCTAAGCTTCCCAGATAAAACCCTCCCAGGCCAGAGCTTACCTAGGTCCACAACCCCAAAAAGGGAAGCAAGTTGCAAAGCAGGGAGAGGCCCCAGCAGCCCTCTGGCCCTTTTAAACCTGCCCTGGGTGAGCACCCCCGCCTTATCCCAGGCCCAACACCAATCCCAGCTCCAATTGATGAGCCACACCCATTCTCAGCCAGGTGGGGAGAAACACCTGGAAGAAATAAGCCAGGCTGATTGACAGCATCCTCTTACTTCTGTGATCCTAGGGGAAGAGCTGGGATGGAGGGGCAGGGAGCGGGGCTGGAAGGCCCCAGCGCCTCCTTTGCAATCATCATCTGAGAGAGCAATACCAATTAGCAAAGACAGGCACAGAGACTGACTCCTCAACACCACCGAAGATGTACAGCCAAGGGGAATCCAGAGAGAGTCATTACAAAAGATGAGAGATGGGTGGACACGGTCATTTGGGGCAATGCACCTGCCTGGGTTGAGCTGGGAGGAGGGGGTCAATTAGGGGAAGCAATAATACATAGATGCTTCCCTGAAGGCTCGGATCCGGTGGGCTGAGTTGATCCCCGGCCCTGCTCAGGACTTTGCTGATTTAGTTGGCAGAGCTGGGCTGTGCCACTCTGCCCTGGCTGGGGGCTAAATGGGCCTCAGCCCCACAGGCTCCCTGGCCCCTTTCGGGTTGAAATGTGTGCTCACCTCTGGACTACTGCCATCCAACGCATAACAGCGCTGGGGCCGGCTGTGGAGGGATGCAGCTGGGCCTGCATTACAGGATCTTGCTAAGATACCCACCACCCGGATGCTTTTGCTCCCCACCCGCTGCCCAGCCCCTCGCAGCCTGGCCACAGCTCAGCTGCAGAACTGGACTCTCCCTTTCGTGCGAGGCGAGCAGAAAAGGGAAGGAGCCTTCCTGACTCACGGCAAGATCATGGTACCCAGCAGCCACGCGAGGCTGATGCCACCTTTCTTGGGCCACTGGAAGCAGCAAGCTGGGATTGCAGAGACCCCCGTTCTCTCCTCACCTCTGCCAGCCACTAGCTCCGTGCCTCAGTTTCCCCAGCAGGAACCAATCGCCTGTCTTAGCTGGGCTGTGAGGGAAGAGCGCAGAGCTGGAGCAGGAGGTAAGACCTGATGCATGAGTCCCTCCAGGTGTTTAACCCCAGGACAAGCAAGGATCATCCACCAGCTGCCTGGGGCTCCCTGGGGGGAAGGTATCCAGGACATTATCAGCCTGCTTGGGCACTGCAGGATCTGCCCCCCGCTCCTGGCAGGCCCATGCACAGAGCTCCCATCTCAGGAGGATCAGGGCAGGTGTGAGCAGCCTGGGCGGGCATGCACATGCCTTGCTGACCATATCCATTCTGCTCTGTAATATCCCCCCAGCGCTTTAAACCCCTGTGTATGTGGGGGGGACAGGGGTGTGGGGCTACATGTGACTGGGTCAGGGTGTTTATGTGGCAGGGGCTTTGCCTCCAGGGCTCCTTCACTGCCACTGCGGCTCCAGGGCGGTGGGTGGATACCCAGGGCTAGGCCATAGAAGCAGGATGTTGGCTGCTACGGTTCTCTTGCTTTACCTGTGGCAGGTTTGGGTGTGATGTCTTGTGTTGTGTCAGGGCTAACAGTAGTCTTATGTAGTTAGATGATGGATTTGTATGGGATGGTTTGGACATGGATGAGCCTGCATCAGGCAGGGGGTTGGACCAGGTGAGCCCTGGAGGTCCCTTCCAGCCCCATTTCTCTATGAAGGAGAGGGCAGGGAGGGGGTCTATCCCCAAGATGATGCACGGTAGGGGCTGTCCCCCAGAGGCACAGTGGAGCATGACCCCCTGCTCCTGGGCTGTAATTGGTGTCTCCCCTCTGTGCAGACGGGCAAGGGCCCTGGGTGCTGGACAAGCTGGAGGTGGAGCAGAAGCACAGCGTCACTGTTGACGTCTCCCTGTGGAAGTTTGAGACCACCAAGTACTACATCACCATCATCAATGCCCCCAGGCACTGCCACTTCGTCTCAAACATGATCAACAGCACCTTGCAGGTGAGGCCTGGGGCACGTGGGTGAAGGGTGCGTTGGGGAGGGGGCTGCTATATGCAGAGCCCCTACAGAGCCACTGCTATATGTCAATCCAGCCCAGCAGCACTGCATGGTCTCCAACATGGGAAGTAACTGTGGGGATTCATAGACGTTAGGGTCAGAAGGGACTTCAATAGATCATCGAGTCCGACCCCCTGCATAGGCAGGAAAGAGGGCTGGGGTTAGATGACACCAGCTAGATGCTTATCCAAACTCTCTCTGCTAGCTTGTGGCCATTATTTCTTGTAACCCCCGGGGGCGCCTTGGTGAATAAATCCTCCCCAATTCCCTTCTGTGCCCCCTTGATGAACTTATAGCCAGCCACAAGGTCGCCTCTCAACCTTCTCTTGCGGAGGCTGAATAGATCCAGTTTCTCTAGTCTCTCCTCGTAGGGCTTGGTCTGTAGGCCCTTAACCATACGAGTGGCCCTTCTCTGGACCCTCTCCAGGTTATCCGCATCCCTCTTGAAGTGCGGTGCCCAGAATTGCACGCAGTACTCCAACTGCGGTCTGACCAGCGCCCGATAGAGGGGAAGTATCACCTCCTTGGACCTATTTGTCATGCATCTGCTGATGCACGATAAAGTGCCATTGGCTTTTCTGATGGCTTTGTCACACTGCCGACTCATGTTCATCTTGGAGTCCACTAGGACTCCCAGATCCCTTTCCACTTCCGTGCCCCCCAGCAGGTCATTCCCTAGGCTGTAGGTGTGCTGGACATTTTTCCTCCCTAGCTGCAGCACTTTGCATTTCTCCTTGTTGAACTGCATTCTGTTGTTTTCTGCCCACTTGTCCAACCTGTCCAGGTCTGGATGCCCCTGGGGACAGCTGAAGGGGTCCACAGGCCTGTCACGTGCCCTCCAGACTCCACTTCCCAGGAGGGACCTGGTATCATGCCCCTCTTGTCCCGCCAGGTTGACTGCGTGGCGCTGATTGTGGCTGCAGGCATGGGGGAGTTCAAAGCCAACCACTCTAAGAATAGGCAGACCCAAGAGCAGCCCTGCTGGCCTACACCCTGGGGGGGAAGCAGGTCGTCGAGGGGGTGTTGAATAAGATGGACTCCATGGAGCCCCCGTACAGGAAGAAGCACTACTAGATCACCAAGGTGGTGAGTGCCTACATCAAGATTGGCTACAACCCCGCCATGGTGGCCTTTGTGCCCATCTCTGGCTGGCACAGGGACATGCTAGAGGCCAGTGCCAACATGAGCAGTCTGTGCCTGCCCGCGCAATGGGTGCGGGCACATGCCCCGATCTATTATTCCCCAACAGACTGGTTCCTAGTAGAGCTACTTGAGGGAGGTGCTTTTCTCCTGCTTGGCCACTAAGGGGGGAGGAAGCCCGTTTGCACTGAGCTAATGGACAATAGTAGTGGGCACATGGTACATATCCCAGGGTATTTTTCCCTGTAGATGTACCTCCGCTTTCAGCTGAGGTCCTCTAGTGTCAAAGCTGCGGAGCTTCCTCCAGAGCAGCTGCTTGGTAGTAATGCAGCATAGCTTCTGCTTGCCTGGAGAGATCCATCATTTATTTAGCACTATGAGCATATGGTGGGTACCACGAGAGGGTAAAGCAGGGCTGCAGTATCGCCACGAGGAAAGGTGATGCCTCGCACCACGTGGCTGGAAACCCTAGATTCCATCATCCCTCCTTCCCGCCCCAGCAGCAAACCCCTCTGCCTGCCCCTGCAGGACATCTACAAGATCGGGGGTGAATGGGGGTGACCGAGGCTATGGTGAACTCTTAAAATGGTGCTGTGTGGTGGGGGTGGCCGTTCGGGGAGAGATGAGCTTCAAGGCCGCCAGCAGAATCCAGCCGTCCAGGGGGGAACCAAGCACATGACTTTCCCTTAGCATGTGGGCTGAGGGTAGAGGTACATCAACACCACTGGACTCTCGTCTTTCAAATACTCTGGCCAAGGGGTTGTGGGTCCAGAGTGAGGCTTTATTTAAGGCAAGTAAAATCTCAAGTTATGTAGTACTTTCCGCTAGTCAAGTCCTTTGGATTATAGAGAAGCAAAATTCTCCCCATTTTACAAGTAGTGAAACTGAGGCCTGCAAAGGTGAGGTTGCCTTGCCCAGAGTCAGGCCTGTGTCACTACAGAGCCCTGCTACGCTTTCTGGGTGTGTTTGGGATGGGGAGGAAGGGGAAGGTCATTTCCTGAACAGGTGAGATGGCTGTTCACAGAGCTTCCCCTGAAGGAGGATTGCTGGAACGGTCAATTCTGAGTCTGCTCTTAACCCTGGTGGTGCTGCACCATGGAGAACCTTGCAGGAGACCCTTGGCAAGGAACCCACACACCCCAGCCCCAGCGTGCCCTGCTTTCTGTTCTCCTTCACATCCCTTTGCTTCTGTCCACATGAGTCGTCATCCTGAACTACCCCAGCCAGATCTCTGCTGGCTCCCTCCTGGTGCTAGACTGCCGTACGGCTCACATCGCCTGCGAGTTTGCCAAGCTGTGGGAGAAAACTGACTGCAGGTCTGGCAAGAAGCTGGAGGACAATCCTGCAGAGCTGAAGTCTGGGGATGCCGCCACTGTTCAGATGATCCCTAGCAAGCTCGTGTGTGGACAGCTTCTCCGAGTACCCACCTCACACTCTTTTAATGCCCCTTGAAAGCCCCGTCCTAGGTAGCTGGGTGGAGAGGGAGGATAAGGCCTTCTCAATGGGTGTGTGCGGGTGGAGGGAATGGGGAACTGTTGCCTTGCTCCATCTGCTCCACCAAATCTGCCCCTCTGTCTCTGACAAAGCCAGGGGGCTGCTCACGTACAAACTGCACCCTCCACAGGACAAGCCTCAACAGCAGGACAGGGGTCCATGGGGTTTGCCATCAAGGAAGACAAGGGGTCCTGACCCTGCCGTGCCTTCCCTAACAGGTTGCTTTGCTGTGCGGGACATGATGCAGGCGGTGGCCATGGGTGTGATCAAGGCTATGCAGAAGGCAGCTGTGGGCACCTCCAATGTCACCCAGTCTGCGATGAAGACCAGAAGGAAGCGAATACTCTGGTCGGGGGGGAAGTAGGTGGCTCGCTCAGAGGCATCAGCAATGGAGGGCACCCCAAACCCTGCCATCACAGACCAGCATCTGGAGTTGCTTATTCAGGACTGGCTCCTGAGCAACAAAACACAACGGAAGAGCTTCCTCTGGAAAGGTGAGGTTTTTCTGTTCTTGTTCTTAATGTGAGGCTTTCCTTCAGGGTGAGCTGGGGGAGGGGAGTGTATGAGGGGAGAAGCCTGGATAATCCCAGTGTGAATAAACACTCAACTTGAATCTCTCCCCTGTGGCCCTGTCTAGCTCACTTCAATGGGATCGTAGGTGCCCTGGTGAGCGCAGGGTGGTGCGTCAGGAATGAGATGACTAGACCTGGAGCCTTCCCCCAACTTCCTTCCTCCCTAACCCAACACCTCAGGCCAGGTGAAAATAGGTGCCTCTGCTTGGGCAGGAAGGGGCGGGGGGTGGTACATGCAGATGGTAGATGGTCCTAGCCTGGACTCATAGATGCTCACAGGACCTGCCCATGTGGCAGCCTAGCAGGGACCAGCATTATAATTCACTTCAAAGGACTAGACCATGCTCAGAGGCTGAAGAGCTTCCCCTACCAACAGATTTCAGATGCCCCTGAAATAACGCTCCGGAGGAGTTGGGTAAGATCCCAGGGGAAGCAGTGAAGCACTGTGGACTACAGTCTCCGCTGCTTCATACTGCAATTCTGGGAGGGGTGGGCATGACTGAGGTCCCCCTCGCAACCCTCAAGCCAAGAGGTTACCAGCAGCAACAGCATTATCCTGTGAACGGGGGATTAATTCTAGTTTGGCCTCCTATCAAATAAACCAGACATGAGCTGGTGTCATGGGGCAGGAAAGAGGCAGATTTCACTGCAGTCGCTAAGGGAGGCACCAGAGGGAAACTGTCTTAGCTCTGCTGCTTATAGTATAAAAATGCACCATTAATAAAAAAGCACCATGAACTAAACCACCATCCCAAGAAAGGGGGCTGAAAATAGGCACTCTGCTGCAGAGAGGTGAAATTCTAACTCAACCTGGGTAAATCAATTCAGAGCAGAAAAGGAGCCTACCTCCAACTGAGCATCTTGAAAGGAGACCTCTTTCCACCGACTGAAAGCAAACCCCAGCTCTCTCTCAAAGGCGAAAGACTCCAGTCACGTCACAAATTAAACTGAAGCCAAGTCCCCTCTCTGCATGCAAACACATGCTGGTTTTCTCTGGGCCTTTTTCTTTTTTTTTAAGTTGCTTCTGATCAGCTGGGATGGGGGAGAAAGGGCTGTCTCTTTAAAAGGTGTGTGGGCAGCGAGAAGCATCTGATGGTCAGAAACTGCTGTTCATTCTCCCCAGACACTAGGGAGCCCACACGCCTGCACGCACCTCTTGCAGGGAGTATAACACAACCCCTGTGTTCGCCCTGCTGTGCTCACTTGTGCTTTGATCACGCAAAGCCTGGGGAAGGGCGTGGGAATCCAGGACACAGCTGGCTGGCTACACAAATGCCTGGCACTTTCTATTCAGGTGGACAGGGCTGGGATATCTCGACTAACCTACGTTCCCTGGAGCATGTTTCATCCCACACCCTTGTCACACAGCAGCCTGACTCAGTTGTTCACTGGTTGGCAACATCCTCTTTAGCCCAATCCTGGATGGTCCCATTGCCAAAGGCCACGTAGAACAGGAGGCCGAAGAGATCGATCCCTGCCGACAGGAAGAAGACGTTCCTCCAGCCAGTCACCAGGTCCTGGGGGGAACCAAACATGGGCTACTGTTAATCTCCTGGTCTCCAGCTCATGGTTACCATCCCATACAGGGAGATGGGCCTTAGGGCTTGTGCCTGTCTGGCCCCGCATTTATCAATAGCTGTAACAGTAAAGAGCTTGGTTCAGCTAAAGATGTTCCCCGTTTGGACTCTGTGTCATGGCCTTTTATGCTGAACTCAAGCAGCTCATCCCTGGAACAAAGCTTCTACTGTCCCATTCCAGCTCCTCTAGGGTCTCCCCTTCCTGCGAGCCCACACTCTGGGTGCCAATTAGAAAGGCTTCTTTCAAACAGCTCAGGATACAGGCACACAAACAACTGAACGCAATAAAGCCCCCCCGCCCCCAGGATCTTGTTCACATGTCCATCCTCTTGGTACTGACTTGGCACACTGTGTGCCAAGTCACCCAGCACGAAACAGCCTGCGGGCTGGGCTCAGAGAGACCATAAGAGCTCAGCCAGGAGCACATTTTATCCGGCGCATGGGAAATAGTTTTTTGGCCCACCTTCCAACTGCATTTTCCCTTCCCAGCACAAGGGAGAGCACGAGTTCCAAACTGGTCTCCCAGGACGGCCCTCAATTACCTGGCTGGTGAGGAATCCAACTGCAGTGGGAGCAATGATCCCTGCTATTATGCCAAAGGTGTTTGTGATCCCCAGCAGAAACCCGGCATACCTGGGAAAGGAGAAGGGAAGATTTCCTGAGCAAGAGACAGAGGGAACTGCAAAGCAGGTCCAACCATCTCTCAAGTGATGCAACTAACCTACTGCAAACCTGTCTGGCATTAGCAGAGCCCAGAAGCTGGCAGAAACTGCCCCTCAGCCATCACCTGCCCTCTTGAAAGAGGGCAACATCCTTACCCCCTTTTTGCTCCTTCTGCTTTTTCCTCTCCCTGATCTCCTAATACCAGACAGGCAGGAGTGCAGCTCAGAGCCAAGTAGCAGAGGACTGGTAGAGAGAGGGGGGATGGCTGGAGCCATGCAGAAGGAAGACAGGTCATGCATCTCACCTGGGGGCAATGTCAATATGGTTGATGCTCAGGCCTGCCCCAGTCGTGCTGTTCACGGTCAAGGACAGTGTGAGAAAGGCCACGGCAGCTGTGTAGTTGCAGCCGATGTAGGACACAGCCACTAGGAAGGCTCCAGGCAGCAGCATCCCTAGGGAGGAAAGGAGACACATTTATGGCCTGGGGAGATAGCCAGCTGGAGGAACCTGGAGGCAGAGGGGACTGGTCCTTACCCACTGCTGAGAAGAGTTTCCGCACTGCAGCCGTGCTGAGCACATGCCTGGACAGGAGCAAGTCTGCCAGCAGCCCCGACAGGATGTGACCCAGGCCATTGCCAACATAGGGCAGTGCTGAGAGGAGCCCATTCTGTGAGGATGAGACCCAGGTGAGGCACTGGCATCTCCACTTGACACAGATCGGCAGTGGCTGTGGGGTGCCACAAGTGCCCACGGCATTACCAGATGCATGGGTGGGGGAGTCTAGAAGTGGAAACTGTCACGCCAGGCCAGAGCTCGATGTTGAAAGCCCAGGGGCTAAGGCCAGCTGCTCCGCTAAGCAGAAGACAGCTCCCCTTCTCCAGCTTACCTCCTGGATGTTGAAGTGCAGCACATTGTTCATGTACGTCGGCATGGATGTCAGCAGTGTGTAGAAGAGCCAGTCGGTGCAGAAACAGGCCACAACGATCGCCCACAGGGGCAGCGACCTCGCCATGGCCTTGAGTGGGAGGGACCAGCCATGAGAACACCCCTGCAGGGAAACGCTCCTGTAAGAGCTGGCTCAAGAGGGGCGCTTCCAGTGACTCGGCATCTCCAACCCAGCAGGCTCAGGATGCTACTGGGTTTGGGTGGTAACTTCAATGGCTTACTGCTGGCATAGAGTTACACCTGTTAATGTCAGGCTGGAGCTATGCATAGCATATCAAACCTGTCCCAGCTTTGCCCCTACTCCAGTCTAAGCCTCTCAGGTGCAGATTCCCGTTCCATGACCTGCCCCTCTGCTCAGTTCAAGGCACCATGGTAAAGAGCCTCTTGCCCTCAGCTCGTCCTACCCCTTCCGTGGAAGCCTGCTTCTTCTCTGCCTCGAGTTCCTTCTCCTCATCACCACAAAACTCTGGCCTCTCTCTCCCATTGCCTCCATCTCCTTCCAATCTTCCTTCACCTCCTCCCAGGCATGGCTTCCCACCACCCACACCGGGACCTGCATCTTGCTTCTCACGTGCCAGAACTCCCCATTGCCTCTTGCAAACTCCTCCTGCCCATCCACCAACTCTGATCTCACCAGCCCCGCCACAGCCTTTTCCCATGAGCTCTGGTCTCAAACCATCACCCAGGCATGGCTGAGCTAATGTGAAAGCCCCTTAGGACAGGGTTTTTCCCTGCCTCAACCTGTGGGGCACTCAGTGGAGCCTCCTGCTGACAGTCTCACCCCCAGAGGGTCCCTTGGCTGCAGCCTCCTCTCAAAAGATGCAGGCAAGAAGTGTGTTGGAGTTACAGGGCTTTCAGCGCACCTGACTGGCCAGGGACGACACGATGTAATCCCTCTCGCGGGCACTAATGCAAGGGTGACAGGCAGGATCTTCATAGACCAGAAGGAACCAGAACATGCTCCAGACACAGCCAATGCCGCCTGGGGAAACGAGGAGCAGGTCAAGGCCTGGCTCAGGTCTTGTGGACACACAGCTCGCGAGACCGTGCCTTCAGCTGGCCTAGTGCTAGATGCCAAAACACAGGCAGGCAAAGAGCTCCAGCCTGGTGACAGGATCACAGGCCAGGACCCTGAAGGCTGGAGCACTGCAAATGCCAGAGACAGCCCAACAGAGCAGGAAAGGTGCTGTAACCAGGCCCGAACCACCATTTCCTTGTGCAGAGAGAAGTGGACAAACTCCATGGCTCCTGCCAGCAAGTCTCCTGCATCAGAACCCGGAGCAGAGAGGCTGGATATGAAAGACCTCACCAAAGATGTAGAAGACGTAGGGCCACCCCAGGCACTGGCAGATGAACCCGGCCACAAGGTAAGTGAGGAAGGTCCCGAAGGTGCATCCTAAGGAGCAGAAACGAAGAGCATACAGAACAGGGGGTGATACCCCAGGCTTCCCGGTGCCCAGCCCATACCACCACACAGCCCCTCCAGGCACAGGTATTTGGGTACCTAGCTCCCACTGGCACTGAGGTGGGTAGAGGGCCAGACCTCTGGAGGACAGTCAGGTTGGCAGTGAGGTGTCACGGTCTCTTACCAGCATCCGCAATGTTCATGAGCCTGCTGCGTTCCATGGGGGGAGCCCATTTTGCCCACAGCGTGTATTGCGCTGGAAATATCACCCCCTGGGGAGGAAGAACATGTGACCATAAACACCAGCATGTGTGTGCACGTGTGTGTGGTGGAGGGGGAGGGAGAGCACGCTGGGAATGATCCCTGGTGCAGAACATTCATAGCCATGCACCATCATGGGATCTACCACTCTTCTCCCCTTGTCCTGCCATTTTGGTTTGGCACTGCCCCTTGCCTGTAAGCTCCTTGGGGCAGATCCCTGGCTTGTTAGCTTGTTTCGTCACCGCTGTGGACACAGACACAGACACATGTAACCACCAGAGCAAAGAGCCATGAAGCCAAGGCCCTACCTCCGCGAGGCCCAGCAGCACTTGGAGCCCGATGAGATACACGACTCCCAGCTTTGCCGCCAGCGGCACGAAAAGGGTGAGAGCCGAGGTGAGGAACAGCCCACAGCCCAGCACCACCTTCCCACCCAGCGTGCCTGCCCAGTAACCGCCAAGCATCTGGGTGAAGATGTAGCCGTAGAAGAAGGAGCTGAGGATGACGCCCTGGGTCTTGGCGCTCCAGTCGTACACAGGAGCCTGGGGGAGACAGGGGGCTTGGATCAGAGGGGTGAGATGGCATCTGAAGGCACCACCGTATAACTGAACCCTGCACTTGGTCTCCCCCTGGGCAGGAGAAGGGGTTGGTCCACACAAGCCTATGTGCAGCTTGCTGTCAAATTCTGAGCTCTCCTTTGTCATAAGACCAGCTCGCTCATAGACCCGCTTCTCAGGCTAGCCCTGGCGCCAGCCCCAAATCCAGGCTCAGCTTTATGGCTTCCAAGTCAGTCTATCCTGCCAAGCTCCAACGGGGAGAGCAGAGTCCCTGAGGAAATGGCCTGAGCTGCCTTTCCACTTACCCCATGGGCGAATGCTGGGTGGGAGCCGTTGGACCACGCGTGGGAGCGGTTAGAACACACTTCGACGGAGACGTTGGCCTGGTTGCTGGGGTGGGTGGCGTTTGTCATCGCCACGATGGCCATGCTGAGATTGACCCGGAGCGCGTACACCATGAAGAGGGTGATGTGCAGGACAACAGCCAGCCCCCAGCGAGCTGAGCAGAGCCCTGAGGAAAGAAAGCCACCCCCACATGCCAGAGATGGTCAGTAGACCAACCTCCTGTGCCCAGCCAAGGCTACTAGGGGCCTCCAGACAGCCAGGAGCCACCATCAACCATCTGGTTTCTTCTTTATTATTTATTAATCTTATAAAACAACCACTTTAATGCTTGATGATACATCCAAGCCCCTAAAACATACAGAGACAAACATCTAACTTTCACCAATAGTGCTCCCCTAACCCAAATCATTGCTCAGAGGAATCTTGTGCTCTCCTCTTCCTCCCAGTCTCTAATGGGTCCTTTATGTTTCTGTCAATGTTAAGCTTTGTTGTTGGTTCATCTCTATATAATGTCACCTCCTTTTTCCTCAGAACTCTGCACAATGCAAACGGCACTATCTTCTACTTGTCTCAGCTTTTGAATGTATCCCAAACGTGTTCCTAAGTGTAGGGTCACAGCATTTGCACTTTTCTTAACGTTCAGAAAAAGGTCCTCAAAGCTGCTGGTTCGGAGGCAGGAGACAATGGTATTTCAAAGACCATAACCGTCATCCCTGCCTCTCAGACGGAGCCATACAGATCCTGCTACCCGCAGGGCTTCCCCCCAGCACCGGGTTCAGTCCAATTCCCCCTTGGACACACACGCCTCCCTCTGTGCAGCGGGGCAGAATGTCTCCTCTGCCAGCTCCTGCACAGACAGGCTGGGGCAGAGGCAGGTCTCCTGCTGCAGCAGAGACTTCCTTCAGGGAAGCAAGGGCTGGAGGACTGGATCGACCCCTGCCGCCCTACGGCTGCCCTGTCCTGTTTTCCCAGCATTCCCAACCCGCGGTGTTATCTGCCCGTCCCCTGAGAAGCCCCGACAGCAGGACACGGCAGGACGGACACGGCTGCTGGGCACGGAGAGGGGACTCGCACGCTCAGGAGCAGTTGGGCTTGACCAATCCTCCCAGCCCTCTGGAAGGGGCGGCCAATTTTTATCACCGCCATCACTACGCAGAGGCGACACGGAGGCAAGCGGGCGACGCGACCCGCTCACGGCTGCGGGCGACGCGCGGGCACCGGTTGCAAATCCAGCAGCTCCCAGGCTCGTCTTCAGACCATCGTGTCACTGCACCCACCTACCTGGGCAGCAGGAGGGCTGCGGGGCGGGCAGCAGGGCAGCATCGTCCGTCTCCGTGTCCGTGTCGGGGCCGTCCGCCTGGGCGCTCTCAGCACTCGGCGCCATCGTCCCCCTCCAGGGAGCGTCTCAGCGACTGGCGGCACGAGGCGCAGACATGGGGTCACCAGCCGCCGTGGTCCCCACCAGGGGCGGGCAGGGAGCGCAAAGCTCAGACTTTTCTTTCTTCCTTCTCCTGAAAAAGCCAAATCAGCTCCAAATCCGTGCGAAGGACTCCAAGTCCCGCCCCCCGGCCACGTCCCGCCTGGCTCAGCCCCGCCGCCACGTGCTCCTTGCCACCCCTTTCCGTCACGTGACCCTCCTCGCCACGTGCGAGGGGCGGTCACATGACCGGCCAAGATGGCGGCGCTCAGGTGGCTGTGCGGGCTGCTGCTGCTGCTGCCGCTGGTGCTGGGCGCGGGGAACCGCACGGGGCCGGTGCCCCTGGTCATCTGGCACGGCATGGGTGAGTGCCAAGGGGCCGGGAGGGGTCCTCGCCGTCCCGCTCCCCACTTACCCTGGCCTGGGAGGCCTGCAGCCGGCCCGCAGGTCCCTGGTAGCCCTCCCCCCTGGGTGCAGCCAGTCGCCCCGAGCCGGGAGGGGGAGAGGAGCTTCCAGGCCGAGGATACGGGGGTGTTGAGTGCCAAGCGAGGCGCTCCCCTCCCGGCCTGGCGGCTGCAACACGAAGCTCAGTCATCCCCGATCCTTGCCTCGCTGCTGGGGAGGCTCGGACGAGGTGTGGGCGCCCCTCCTTCTGGAGAAACGGGGGGCGAGGGGAGCCAGAAGTGAGGCGGGAAGTTGTACTAGGGCTTTAAAGAGTTAAAAACAATGCCGCCGGGGGGGCCCCCCCGGGAGATCTCCAGGTCCCGTTCCCTGTTCTCGTTTCTAAACGGTTTCCAGACAGGCCTGGGAGCGAGCACGGTTCTCACGGGTGCCGTGCATGGGCGGTGGCACTGCAGCGTGCTTCCCGAGCCAGCGGTAACGTGCCGTAACCTGCTCCCTCTTGCAGCACTCTGCCGGGTCTTAGATCAAGATAAGCCCCACGTTGCTGTTACAGAGCTCGAGGGGCTTTGCGAAGGAGGGCAAAGGTCAGGATTCCTGGTTTGGAGGTGGGGAAACGGAGGCATGGTGGTGATCCGGCTTGTCCACCGTGACACAGGAGATCTTTGGTAGAGGTGGGGACAGGCCCCAAAATCCTGCTTTCCGCCCCCCAGTCCAATGCTTCTTTCACTTAGCCATATCACCTGCCTTCCACCCCCAGCTATCACATGAGATCATAACACTGTAAAGCTCTGATTAATTGCAATGACGTTTATTGGTTTTATAAACGCTAATTAATCCTCCTAATCGCCTCTGGATATTACAGACTGGGAACCTCAAGCACAGAGAGGCTGTGATATGCTCAAAGCCACAGAGAGAGGCTGTGTAAGAGCCTGGATTAAACTTTGGGAGGCTCTAGTGCCCAGACTGCGAATGCGTATTACTGCGGAAGCAGGGCCCTGACTTCCGGAGCCCTGTGTACACCCATTGTTTTGTGCCCATGGGGTAGTTCAATTAAGACTTAAACCGCTGCAGCAATGCATTTCTGTAAGGGTAGAATTAAGGGGGAGGATTGCTGAGAATGTGGTGTGCACAGTGGGATTAAAGTTTGTAGCTGCTGGTTTTAAATGGATGTCACAAGCATGTCATTAGTGAGAGGGCGAGGGGAGGAGAATGTGCAGTATTGTAACTGGGGGGGGAATGTCGTGGGGAGCTTGGTTTCAGCAGCTCAGGTACCTAAGGTGTGATGACATTACAGCATCTGATGGGAACTTTCCTCCTCTTTTTAGGAGACAGCTGCTGTAATCCTGCAAGCATGGGGTACATTAAAAAAATAGTGGAAGAAAAGATACCCGGAATCTACGTTCTGTCTTTGAAGATTGGGACGACCATAATCGAGGTAAAATTGTGGTCATCCGTTTTCTCTGGTTAATGGCTTTTGTGCAGTTAAAGGCACTATGGGAGTATATTGTTGTGTCTCGGTTTGACATAGTGCTACAGACAGGCATAAAAGGCTTTCACTATTAATTCTCTTGAGCAAATCTATAGCTTTGCCATGTTGAAACTGATGCAGTCGGGTTAGTTGCATATGAGAGAAGAGCTAGGAACACAGATCTGCTGATCAGCATTTTGAAATCTCTCCAGATAGTACATAGGCATGTGATGAGATACTGTACTTTGTCCTTTCCTGTGGTTTAACTCCAGTACTTGCGTTCATTTGCGGACATGTATTTATTATTTTATGTATCTCATACAAGTCTTGCCTTCCTCTGCATTTGTGCTGTGAGCCTGGGGGGGACAAAGACCTGCTGGATAGAATGGGATCTTAAAAAACTGGGTTTATCTTTATCTCATGGAATTTAGAGTTTAAGACCCTTTCTCCAAAGAGTGCCATGTTAATCCTAGATCTACCAAGCACATGGCCATTGTTAACATATATCTGTCCTTTCATCTCTTCACGTGGCTGATTCCTTAGGATATGGAGAACAGCTTCTTCATGAACGTGAATGACCAAGTGACACAAGTTTGTGACACGCTCACAAAGGATCCTAACTTGCAGGGAGGCTACAACTCGATGGGCTTTTCCCAAGGAGGCCAGTTCCTGTAAGTTTGCAGTCTGAGCTTTTTCACAGTAGGGGTGCTGCACTGTGGTTGGGACCCCTTGTCCCCCGGAGACTTCCCCTTGGGCTCAAGTTGGAGTGCAACTAAGTCACCTTGGGGCTCTGTGATGTTTAATGCCAGTAGCGTCTATACAGGACAGGGCAAGCTTAAGCCCTTTGTCTCTTTCCACAGGAGAGCGGTGGCCCAGAGATGTCCGTCTCCTCCCATGTTCAATTTGATTTCCATTGGTGGGCAGCAGCAAGGTAACTCCTCCCAGAAATCCTCCCAAAGGCATCCTGCCTCCTAAACAGGCTTGCTGTGAACAGAGAGGGAGTTGTCGGCAGTTTAAAACGATCTCTTCTTCCTGCCATACACGTGAGGGAGCTTCCCTGGGCCTTTCCTTCACTTGCAGCAAACTGACCTAATGCTTTTGCCTGAATCCTAATGATTTAACTGTGCCCTGTTGGTAGGAAACTGCACGTCTCCCAGACTGCTCTTGTGTTGGGTTCAGGGGCAGGCAGGAACCCCAGTGAGGTGGTGACGAGCTGAATGTGCAGAGAAGGTTAAATGCCCAGAAAGGGGAGGACCTGCTCACAGCAAATCATGAACTAGAACAAGGCATCACAGGAGGATGAGACAGGGAAGTGGCCTAGCGTGGGGGAGCTCTTCTGGCAGTGAGCCCTCCAGGCCCACAGTGATCTCCCAAGGGACTGGGGGGAAGCTCCACTGAGTCTTGTTCTCTCTCTAGCACAGTAGGAGTCACAGGAAAATCTTATGGTGTTGAGGGAATAGACTGAGGCTGGGACAACACTATTAAGTGTTGGCCAGAGGTTTGAAAGGACCCTACTCCTTTGCTGATGTAGCTGCCAGCAAAACCCTCTCTCCTGATACAGCTCTGCTGACTAGGGTTGTGGCTTAACTTGTGATGTCCAGGGCAAGGATGTAGTTATGCCTTCTGCTCATCTGTACTGAGCTTGGGGGCTCTCCACACAGCTAGGCACAGACAGGGTGTCAGGCATCCTGGATTGTAGACAGGCCCAGAATGAGACATTTCCTTTAGCTGTGCAAACCCATTCTCCATGCTGCTAGTCAGCTAGAGAACGTCACCTGTTCTCTTCCCCTGCAGTTGTGTCCCAGGGCAGTTTGGTTGGCTGTAGGGAGTATAGGGTGGGAGACCTGCAGTCCTAAAGTACTTCCTGCTGCTGTTCTTGGAGGAGGAGGCAGTTCTTCCGGTGTGTCAATGCTGCCCCCTGAGTGTCTGTGCCCTTCTTGCTGTCCCAGGGGTGTATGGCTTCCCTCGCTGTCCTGGAGAGAGCTCCCACATCTGCGACTGGATTCGAAAGATGCTGGACCTAGGGGCCTACACGAAGGCTGTTCAGGGGCGGTGAGTACACTCCTGCATAGGTATCAAAGACTAAGGCAAGATGCATGCTGGAGCCCTTGGGTTTGCTTTTTCATGGTCGTTCTCTCTCCCCTGCAGCCTGGTGCAGGCCCAGTACTGGCATGACCCCTTGAAGGAGGAGGAGTACCAAAAATACAGCATCTTCCTCGCTGACATCAACCAGGAGAGGGTAAGGGGGCATGGTGCCTGCAGCTCTGAGCTGACGTGGGCTCTCATGGCTGCTTAGAGTAGGGCACAGACCTGCAGCATGGGCACAGCTGGGCTTTTCTTCCTTCTGTGTTCCTGAGGGAAGCCTCTTTGGGTTTAGTTCTCTTGAGGGTTCTCCGGTTTGGTCAGAGTTTAGCATCTTCTGCTGCTCCTGGGCCTGGTCTGTGGCTCAGTGCTGAAGTGGGGATTTTCCCAGGTGTGGGGCTCTACACTACACAGCACCATTCTGAGAAGCGAGACTTTGGGGCTGCAGAGCAACTTCTGAAGCGACTGGTTGATCCTTACAATCCACTAGCAAGGGAGTGGAGAATTAACCCTGACCTTACAGTAGAGCTGGACAGAGTGACCTGGGCATGGCTCTAGGAAAGTTGGAGCGGAGCTGGGATTAGAAAGCATGAGTTTCTGGCTCCTTCCCTTGCTTCTGCTCTCGTTTGGGTGAGCCTGGCTGGCATCAGGGCCTGTTCTTGCCCTGAAGGGGATCGGCAGTCTGATGCGGTGACCACACAGTCCAGCACCTCAGGCTGCTGTGAGCACACCACGTTCAGCCTGCTTGCCAGTGTCTCCAGCATGACTAATTTCCTTGTTTTATGGCCTCTCTCTGTCCAAGGGCATCAATGAGCTGTACAAGAAAAACCTCATGGCACTGAAGAAGTTTGTGATGGTGAAATTCCTCAATGACACCATGGTGGACCCTCCAGCTTCAGAGGTGAGGAAGATGAGGCAGCCAGATAGGAGGACAGCTGCTTATCCTAATATCTTCCTGCCTTTGTCTTTGCTTTTGTGTGTGTAGTCAGTGCCCAACTTAGAATGCAAACGCAGGAAGCTGCAAATCCAAGTTCAGCCTATAACTGGATCCACTTGTATCTGGATATAGCCAGTCTCACGGTTTTGGGAAAGGGAAGGGCAAATAGATGATCTAAACTGGACAGCTGCTGTAGAACATCTGCCCTGTGGAGCTCTCTTTCAGGAGAGAGCTACTTTACCCATTGTCCACTGACCAAAAAGCCCCTGTCCCGATCCA